TTTAAACAAGAACAATGTTCAGTAAGTACCTACTACCTACGTATTTAAGCATAGCTAGCTAGAGCTGGAGGTAGGAGATGAATACTGATGATACTAAATGTAGATCTTTCAAAAGTTTCAAACAACTAGGTAAGTACATAACAAGACTGCATGTCAGCCCCATTAGGTAGGTATGGGTAGGATGCTCTCGTAAGTTCCAGTAACGTTAGTTACGATCAACGATAAATTGACCATCAGACCAATTTATCAATTGAGTCGTAGGTACTGTAGTACGAAGTTCTCAAATGTGTAGCCTAGGTACTACCTAATAGGTAGGTACAACAACTCATTTTCCGAAGGAATATTAACTTTATGTTACAATAACTACACAAATTACGGGATACTCTTGGTATCAAAAGTGATAGACATAAACCAACTCAATCTTTACTTTCGTTTTTGTATTAAGTACCTATATAACTACAATCCCTAACCCTAACTGTCAACAGAAGACTATTCCGATAAGTATTATTTAGTTAGATCTTAAAAGCTTTAGGTAGGTATTTCTATTAAATCAAAAAGAAAGAAAAATTAAAAAAATCGGCTATAATGTAGGGTGGGTAGTCGAACAGTGAACCAACCAGATACGCTGAACCACCGCCATATTTCAAAAAGTATGATGTTGCCAGTTCCACCGAACGAGTCACTACGTGTCTCGTGGATGCCCTTACCCTCTCCCGTAGTGCGCCGGCGACTGTGGCTAAGGTGTGAAGTGTGGCTGCGAATTCTTTGTTTCGCGACGACAAAAGATAGTTTTTTTAGTTATGCTTTACGATTTTTGTATATTTTGCTATTTATATTAAGTACGAAATCTATTTGGTATCAAAATTATTGTAGTTTTATCTGTTTAATGAGCACATTCCGTGATGACCATTCCGCGTACTTCTATATTGTTTGTGAACTCATAAGTTGAATAGTGTATGTTTTGAACAGTGAACCAGGTTTTCAAAGTACACAGTGAACCGGTTGACTGTTTTTTTATTTAACCACCAAACGGTTGATTAATCACCTAAAGGCTTTAAGAGGCAATTTTCAGTTATTTTTGTTTAGAGAAGGATTTTTCTTTTCAATTGTGTCTTGTGTTAATTTTGTTTTCTGTGATTTTTTAAATGAAGACTGTTTGTTTACCACCAAAAAGGTTGATTATTGATTACTTGAAGGCTTTATTAGACAATGTTTAGTTATTTTTGTTAAAAGAAGCATTTTTCTTTTCATTTGGGTTTTGTGTGAGTTTCTTTGTTATTTTTGGATTCTGTGATTTTTTATGAAGACTGTTTGTTGAAATAATCATTTTTATTTCCATTTGATTTTTGTGTTGTAAAAATAAAAGATGATTATCTAAAATTATGTTGTTTATTTTCCAAAATCATAATTTTTACTCGTAATTAACTTTATGGTTCACTGTTGAAATATGGGTGGTTCAGTGAAAACTACCCGTAGTACACAGTGAGCCAAATTTCATTTTTTTTTAAACCTAATTTAAGTTACCTTTTTATTGCTGAGGCTAATTTTAAGCCTAAAAATTAGAAACCTTATTAAATTACCTGACTGATAAGACCATAATGACATTTCTAGCTTCATTTTCCAGCTAATTAGAGCATTTAGAAAAAAGGCCGGTTCACTGTTCAACGATGCACCCTATTTATAATTATCCCAGGAAAGATGGGTGTTATAAGTTCGTTCCAAAGGATTTGAATTAAACACAGTAATTTTTAAACTTTTAAATTCAATTAAGAACGTATAGGTACCTACTTACCTACCTTAATATTAGAGCAACATCAAAGTTTCAGACAGGTACAATAAGGTACTCACTAAATATCTACTTTATGTAGGTAGGTAGGTCCATACATAGTAACAAAATTTCGATGTGAACCTAAAGTTAGGTCTGTATATAAAATATATGTAGGTAACTTGTAAGTATTGATTTTAAGAAAACGTCAACACTAAAGTGTTTGCGTGTCTTTGCTCCATTTAGAACGGAGGTCACAATGGTTTGCTTACGTAGGTATGCCATGTACCTACGTACACCAATCATAAACAAGACCGTCCGCAGTGGGGTGGGCGACCAACAATCAACTCCATCAACTCCCCTAAACGATCCAGACTAGCAGTGTGACTCTCGATTGTTCAGTGCGACCGATGACTAACGTACGTGTAGACGGTGGCAACATTTTGTAACTTGTATTGGAGCTCTTTCAAATTCCTATTAACATTATTATTACCCAATGAACTACTGGGAGCTCCTACCGTAAAAATGAAGAAAACATTACTCGTGACGTTGTGTTTAGTGATTTTACTCATCTCTGTGCAAGCGAGAAAAACTTCACGTAGTCGCAGCTCAGGATCAGGACGTGGCACAAGCAGGAAAACTTCGAATCCTCAACCAGTACCTACATCTTTCAGTAATCCACAAGCTTCTGCACCAAAACCGACATTATTTGGATGGCAAGAAAAGCCGAAAAATTCGCAGACGTATACATCACAATCGAAACCAGCGAATAGTCAAAGTCACGGTTATCCGTCTAGCAATACCGGACTTTCTGGAAACAGTCCTGCCAAGCAACCTCCTGCATATTCAGAAAGTGTTCAAAGGAGTAATAGTGCATCTCAAAATACTGCTCAGCGGGCACAATCTCCTTCACAAACGAACAGCCAGCCTGGCCATTCGTACCCGGCATCTAACGGATTGTCAGGAAGTTCTGGTTCAGCGGGATATCCTCAAGGTACCGGTTTGTCCGGCTCGGGTTCAGCGGCAGGACATGGATCTGTCGGATACCCACAGTCAAGTGGAGGTTCTAGTTCTGGTGTAGGTTATCCTCAAGGGAGTGGACTTTCTGGCGCTGGAGGAGCACCACCCCCGTATCCTGGTTATAAGCCCGGAGCTAATACGGGTGGAAGTTATCCATCGCAAGCAGTTGGTAATGGATATCACCAACAAGGTCCACCGCCGCCATACTCAGGCAGTGGATATAATCCCGGTGGCTATGGTGGTTATGGTGGTCATAGCGGCTATGGGGGCCAGGGTGGTTATGGAGGTCATGGCTATAATCCTAGTTATGGCAACCAAGCACAGATGCCAGGCTATTTCGGAAATTATGGTGGTTACGGCAAAGGTGGTTTTGGTGGGGTCAGTCGTTCAGGAAGTGCTCTTAGAGGAATAGGCATTGCAGGCGCAGGAGTTGGTACTATTTTAACCGGTTTAGCTCTATGGAATTTGGCAAGATCTACTGGCCATCACCACCATACTGTGATTTATGACAACAGAGGTCAACCAGTTGCGGTTGCCCCAGCTAACGGCACGGAACCTGTTATCGACCCTATTCTGAAAGATTTGGTTAACTGTACTTTAACCATAAGCGGTGAGAATTCAACTGAGGTCTTAGCAATACCATGTGCTATAGCTACATCTTTTACACCTGAGGCTGACGTTAAAGAAGTTGAATCTGCGGATGGCAAAGCTGATAACACAAAATGTATTGTTACTGTTGTCACAAAGACTGGGAAGGAGTTTATGACCACTATTCCATGTTCAATACTATTAAATAGTGCTGCTGAAAATAATGTAACGGAACCTGTTATTACTGAAAATACTCCTGACATTCTGAATGGCACATTGGCAGAAAGTAACAATAATGGAACAGTACAGCCTAATCAACCTTCAGCTTTAAGGCTAACAGGAGATGTTAAAAACGGTACCAATTTGATGGATTTTAATTGTGAATCAGTATTAGAAAACGGTGAAGTGAGGGATCCGATTAATCCGTGTTTTGCAGTGACAAGTAATTTAACCGTAATACCCCTATCCACCAGTGTACCATCAGAGACAGTAAATTAATTTACAGTTTTCCTGTTCTTGATTTGTATAACTAATCATTTAGGATTATATTAGTACCTATTAAAGGTACCACTTTCACAGAGATGCCATAATTATTTGTACGTAATCTACGTATAATTAAAGTTTAAATTCAGATAATTATTATTTCAGTACCTAAAACCAATTAAGTCGTTTATAGCTAATTAGTCATATTAAGATAAGATTATATTAATGATTGCAATTTTTCTTGAAACACATGACAATGGATTTATTAGTACATACCTATTAAGATTTTTGTTACCTACTTAGCTGTACCTGTGTGATTCATAGAAATAAAATGCAAAAATGCTTTGTTTTATTTTAATAATCCCCCCGTATCATGATATATCAGGGGCCAGGTCCCCCTTGGAAAATGACCCTAGTGTCACCCCCTGATGCTTGGCACCCCCAACGCCCCCCCATACGCCGCCACTGTGTCTGACTTTATCTTAACTTTATGATTAAAATAAATTGTGGGGAGCGGCAGTTCTTTTGCCCCTCCTACGATATTAATAACATAAACACACCGATTTACCGACCACACACAAACTCCTAATATCCGCATGTTTTTGTTATCTAATAGGGTATCATTCATACAATAAAATCATATTGCGACTGTATGGCCTATCTCTGGATTCAAGGTTGACTGGTAGAAAATTCTAATGCAGGCAAATGCCATGAATTTAACAATGTCAAATCAAAAGTGAATAATGGCAAAGAAGTTTAATAAAATTACTTTTGCAAACCTTTCTATTCCACTTTGCGCTTATAAAGTCCGCTGATTTAATAAAATAATACGGCGACCTTAAAGCACAGTCCAACTGCCGATTTCAAACCTGACCCTTTCAACCTTCAAATTTAGCTGGAACCGTGAAGTGGCTTACTCGTAAGCTTTAGCCTAGCTCTAAGGTTATTAACGAGATAATAGTAATTTGTGCAATACGAATATATTATTTCTTCTCATAAACTAGGGAAATATTTATACCAGGCAGCATGGTTTTCTGACTCTGTTCATGTAGGACCGAATGAAAAAAGTTAATTGTCAAAAAGTAAAAAAAAAGCAAATGTCACATTGAAGTCGTTTGGCCGAAAATAAAATTGTTAGCGCTAATAAGAAAAATGGCGTTCTTTTAGCTGTAAGTGGACTGCTGCTAAAAATGTATGGATAATGACAATAAAAGTTAGCAAACGTGTCCTTGCCGAAAACATGCTAAAGTTTTCGGCGTTTGCCATCGCGATCGTCATTTTGCTTACAATATTCTAATAAATTCTATTTTCGGCCAAAATACCCTATTGGTTTGGTTTTAGTTAAGTTTGGGGTTTTTTTTTTGCGTTTCTCTTTAGAAACAAGTTAATTTTTTAAAATGTTGAAGTTATTTTTTATTAGAACTTAATTAACAGTTATTTTATAATCATACATCATGTCCGACCCTACGATACAAACATTCTGCTGCCATCATACCGGCAACAAAGAAGACCTAGCTGTGAAAATCATGAGTGAATTTAATACTGATTCCTACAATACTGTATGTTTAGTATCATCTGCTGTTGGTATGTTAGGAGCTATGTACCAGGTAAATCTGACTTTTATTAATCATACTTTATGGAATTTCCAAACTTAGTTAGTCATCTTTCTCAGTTTATATGAAATGTGTTCAACTTTTAAATCATTAAATGAAGCTTCTTTTGTAGTTTTTATAAAATAATGTATTAATTAAATATTTTTTTATTTCAGGTGATACCGACCCTTATTCATAAAGGTTTGCAGCGCTCTACAGGTTCTACAAGAGGGAGACGGACTATTATTTGGTTAGCCATAGCAGATTTACTGGCCTCTTTTGGTAATGTGATTTTTAATATTGAATGTTGTGTAGTGTGTTTTAATCCTCCTGGTGCTGGGATAGACACTCCTATAACTTATGTAAAATTACTCTTACTTTTTGCAGTCACACCCAAGCTTTTTAAGTTCTAAGTGTTTTTGTTACCAGTGCATAAGATAAAAGGAATCTAACTACATTTATTGTAATTTTATCAGTCAGTGTGTTGAATCTAAGCAAATTGTTAATTGAATTTCAGGTGTCTTGGTTCGTTCCTCTCTCTGGTTAAGGTTTAAAAATATCATGCCTATGCCTGATGATGACGTTAGTGTTCTATTTTGCAGCATAATTTCTGTAAGTTCCTCAAAGATAATGTCTGTGTTAAGTTTTTATCAGAAATAATGGTATGGTGTCTTTTATAGGCCTGGACACAATACTTCTACACTGCTACTTGGTTCTGGACATTATTCTATGCTGTAGACACTTGGCTCATAATAAAAGGTCGTGATTCACATCCTACTCTGTATCACTCGTTGGCATGGGGCATACCAGCTGCAACAACAAGCATAGGATTGTCTATTCTCTATATTCCTAATGCTACGTAAGTAAATCCATTTATAAAATTATATTTTAGAAGATTAAAATATATAATGATGAATTGCTGTGCAAACTAACACCAATAGCATCTATCATGGTGTTGAGGTAGTTGGACGCTATCGATTTACAGTAAAAAAAACTTTGATTAATAATAATTTATAGAACATTTTGAAGTTGAGATTAGTTTGTTTTTTTTTTTCAGGTGCCATAATTTGACTTCTGTTACAAGTGCACTATACAAAATATTGCCTAATTACTGTGCCACTTATGTTCCAATATCTATAGTAATGATAGTTAACCCAGTTATGTATATGTTGTCAAGTAAGAATGTGGAGATGGCAGTATCTTTACCATTGGCTCAGGTAATAATTTTCTACAAATTATATTTAATTAGCTTAAATATCACTAAAATTTTCTGCTTACAGATTGTTGTATAACTTTACTTTCATTTCAGTTCACAAGCAAAGAAAGAAGGGTAGTTGATACTTTACGAGTGAAGTTCCTATTTATAAATGTAGTGTTCTATGTATGTTGGCTACCCAATCTTATTAACGGTATATTATTGTGGACAATGTGGTTTAATATGCCAGTCAAAGTTATTATTGTCATATGGTATATTATGGTAAGTGGTTATTTTGAAATATTCAATAAATTATTTAAATTTCATTAGGTACCTTTTACCACTATGAAGAGAAGAGAGAGCGGGAAGAGCCTGAATGCGGGCAGCGCAGGACCGTGCATTGTGGAAAACCTTGGAGGAGGCCTTTGTCCAGCAGTGGACGTCATTTGGCTGAAACGAACGAACGAACGAACCACTATGATTGAGAAAGTCATTATATTTTGGATTTATAAGCAAAAAACTTTATAATGACGGACTTGTTATAACGCTATTAAATCGTCGTTGATTCTAATAAATAGGGGGGATTTATCTTTAAAACCACAATATTAAAGATGTACTCAGTATTCGTCTAATAGACAAACATAACTGGTTTCAGCATAACATTAATAAGATAATGTTAAAGTTACAAACTAAAACAAATTGTAGGGTAAAGTCCAGAGGATCTGGTCAGCCCTTATTTATTAATATTTTTTGTATTTTCAGGCATTATTGAACCCCATGCAAGCACTACTGAATGCTCTGGTTTACCGAAAATGGAGTTTTCACAGTCGAAGTCTAGAATCCAACTTATTGAAAGACTCTGGGAAAGAGTTTAATTTTTATGATGAACAATCACCTCTTCTCGGGTCCGAACCACCTCGATTGCATATGACGCCAATTCCTCCCAGCATAAATAATTATGCTACTTTGTAAAATCGATATTTATATGTAGGCTTATATTAATTAATCTAAGTATGTGGGTATTGTCGCCTAAAATTTTAAAAGGTTTGTATCAAAGGCCAGATTAACTTTTATAGTGCGTCACACTATAAGAAACGAGCACCTAAGAAACAGCGAAAAATAATAAATTAGTCAGTCTGTGATACTTGAAAAATAAAATCCGATTGAAAGACATACAATAGAAACAAGTCATAGAAGACACAAATATGTATCTTATCATAATATCTTATACCTATGCTATATCGTCCAGTTAGAGCATGTTATACACTTTGAAAACTTATTTATGAGATGTATTTTTAAAGTATTAGAATTAAGGACAGTTTACTACGAAATAGCATTGTATACGAATTGTGCATTATACCCCTAGGCCACACACATTTAACACCCCAAAAGATTCGCGGTATTGCGATGTGTATGTACCTAAGCAAGGACTGAGTTAATCGCAAGGGCTTCGCTCTGCTGTTGCTCGAATGTTACAGTGTGTGGCCGAGGGATTACGCGGTAAATGCCATTGTAATGCGTATTGTGATTTAATTTTATACACCTGAGTTTAAGTTGATTTATTGTTGTTATGCACATTTTTTATGGTATTGATGTTTTTGATGACTTTTTTTATACAAAATATATTGCATTTATAAATTTTACTGATTCGTTTTATTCAATAAATTATTACCATTAATTTACTTACAATCTTAATGTTATGATTTTTTAACCCCTGATGCAAAAACGTGTTAAATAATGAAATTTTTTTTAGAAAAATGCAGGTTTTGTATTTTGTATACATTAAAATATTTTATTTTCTGGAAAGTCATTAGTAACATTTTATATAAATTTCAGATCTTTACAACTTAAAATATACATATCAACTAACTATCACATGCTCACACTTCATCTTGATCATTCTCCGGTGGGGCCAAGGTTAAATCAGTGACATCCTTAACAATCATATGGGCTATTTGCCAGGCCATTTCTTCTTCGACTTTGGATGTGGTGGTTGGCACAAAACGGCTTACCATTTTCTTCAAAACTGACCTATCTTTTTTATCTGGATCAGGTTCAAATTTAGATTCAAATCTGCCCAAGCTATTCACTCTTCCCAGACTTAAACCATCTTGTCTCTTTCTTTGCCATAAGGAATCAGCATTATAAAGCTGATTTGAATCAATTGTCATATCAGGTACAGAGTGATTGCGTTTCTTTTTCCGGAAGACAGGATCTCCCATAGCAAGAAGAGTGTTTTGAGTACTTATACTAAATTCACTGCTACAATCTGATTGGGATCTATTATGAGACCATGATTGATCAACAGAGTGTATCATTTCTGACAAAAGTTTATAGTACAGTTCAGACTCCAGAAAAGTAGTGACATAGCGTGAAAGAGTCTTGAATACAATTTTATATGGCAAATCAAAACACGTATACTGAGGTCCTCCTTCTATGCATATGTCATTTTCTATTTTCAACCTAATATATGTGGGAAAGCCGATGGGATTAGTTGCTTGCAAAGAAAAATATTTATCATAGAGAACAATTGCATCTGCTTGAGCTTGATCAGCATCTGGAGTGTTTCCATTCCTTAAGTTATCTCGGAAGTGCATGACAGCCATTAAAAACTCCAATAGGTGCCTACAAGTCTCTTGTTCCAAGTATTCAGTAAAATAGAATAGCAATGTGTCATGGTATAAAATATCTTTGAGACTAATAGAACCACTTGTCAGAATATCTATTTGGGCTTTTGTGTTGAATGGACTATTTTGGAATTCCTTAAAATAGTTTTCAATTTGGTTGAATAATACATCTTGAACTGGCTTGAAACAATCTGGTTTTATGAGACCTTCAGGTTGGCATATATTAGAAATCACCATCTTTCTCAAACTATCAGGCAGGTCCAGCTGATATGGTGCTTCCAATGCAATGTAGTTTTTGAACAAGTTTATGGCCAACTCTGTCACATTGGCACCGTCTTGCATGCAACACTCTCTACAAGCATTTGTCGAGTCTGCATAATCTGACAAATTCAAACATGAACTGGAATTTCCATATTTTCTGGATTCACTTGTGCTATGAAACTTTTCATTTATTTTCTCCCTCCATAAATTCTTCTGAGATGACAAATAATCAGATTTTTCATTATGTGCATGACATTTACAATTGAAGTCAAAACTTTTAGCTCGACTTATTTTTGAATGACTTTCAACTTTATCATTACTATTACTAGTTGAAAGTATTCTTTGAAAACTTTCTATTTCTAACCAACATTTTATGAGCATTGGTTTCTCTACAGTGTCCATAAACTTTACAAAATATTTGAGAGCTTTTTTTTCAATGAGTATGTCATGCAGGCTTAAATATAATTTACTTTTTTTTTCAAATTGCAACTCATCTGAAAGAGATAAACCAATAAAGTAGTAGTTTGAGAATAGATATAGTAATTTTAATGTTATTTAAAGAATTTAGTCATACGTTCATACCTTCGACATCATCGAGTTCCGTGTCCAAAAGAGTCCTATTATCAATATTAGAACTTGTACTTGGTTCGGGTGGTCGTACTGGACATCCGGATTTTCCTTTCGCTAAAAAGTGATGATAATGAAAATTCACATTAAAATTATACAAGGAAAACTTGATTGCAAGCAACGAAGCGAGTAGATATTACGTTATTATGATTGTGCTATCGAGACGTTACCTGCGCTCTTCCAAAATTTAATCATATCTTTGATTAGTGTATTTCAAATCGATGTTTGAACGTTGAAAACCACAATAGCAGAAAGTTACGTAAATTCTTCATACGTGCACTTCGCTGTACACGAAGGTAAACAATAATACCGAAACGAAAACAATTATTATTTTGCAAGAATGTATTGTTTCGTCTCGAACTGACTGAATGAAATGAATGCAGAAATTTGACAGTTATAGTGATGTCATATGTCAGGGCAATTGATTAAACAATTAAATTGAATATCACCACGACAATCGATTATAATATCTCATATGCGAAAATACTTTATCGATACAAATACACAAAAATCTTTTTCTGTTAAATAATATAAATTATTATAGTTTAAATTTAATGTAACATTTAATTTGTTTAGTCTTCTAAATTATTATTTTAAATAAAATAACTTCTATGCTAGAGGGCGTGCTAGAGGTAAGTACAGGCACAGAATAAATAATTGGTACAGGATGTTTGGTAAAGGGGTAAGCCACGTCTCCAGTATCCAGCGCGTCGAGCGCGTTTTGCTTTACATTCAAAAGGTCAATAAAAGAATACGAATTTGGCCATTTGACCCTACGTAACACAACTGTTGTGCCCTAAGTGAGCTTATTTTTTTATAAATGACTACCTTTTGCCCGCGGCTTCACCTGCGTGAAATTTAGTTTATTACAGATCGTCATATTATAGCCTATATGTTATTCTGGGTTCTAAACAATAATACCGTACTGTAAAGTTTCATCAAAATCCGCTCAGCAGTTTTTGCGTGAAAGAGTAACAAACATCCAGACATCCAAACTTTCGCATTTATAATATTAGTAGGATTTTTGTTTTTACATAAAATATTTTTTCCGAAATATTATCAAAATTGATTACGACAAAAAAAACTCAACTACTTAGAATTTGATTTAAAAATTAAAGTTGTTAAAGGTTTACCAATGACCCTAAAACATTTCTAGCTTCTCTTCTTCCAATGATTTATCACATGTATTATAGTTAAGTAGGTATAATAAATAACATAATTGAAATTCAACAAAAATGCGAAGTTTAGGAAAGAAAATGGTATAACATACAAAAATTATCCAGACAAAGTTTCTTCAGACATCGCTACTTTTTTGAAAATGAAATGAAAATGAAAATGTTTTTCTGCTATACCTACTCCTTTTCATAACATTTCATTTGTTTTATTTCAAAATTTAATTATAAAATAATAACCACTTAAGAAAAGAAACAGTTTAAAAAACTAAAAACGGCCAAGTGCGAGTGGAACTCGCGCCTCGAAGGTTCCGTCCAAACTTGTAAGTTCATTGTAGGTACCTATTATCATCCCGCCTTAGTGGGTTATGGGCTGCTCCGCTGATTAGAGGAGTACTGAGAGCGGCCCTGCGAAGGATGGGCCCGGGCAAACACCTAAGTTTTAAAAGATGTCCCCTGCATCGTGGCCCGCACAAATGCCTCAGGCCTACTACAGGTTACCTGAAAGATCCGCCGAGTTGACAAGATCTGCCGCCGGTAAACCGGTCCGGTAACCCCCATGATCGGGGCCCGGGTGTTCCCACTATCCGCAACCCGGGTAGGGACGCGCCCGATGGCAGACCAATCCAGAACTGCGCATTAACATTTTAAGTTTTGTTTTCAGATAATACCCTGCTTGACCGTAACCAATGGCAATAATAGTAAGTAGTAGGCTGGTAGTTAGTAGTTTTACATGAATTTCCTAAATAAAGGAACACGAAATTTAATGCACGCAAGGAATAAATGTAAAAATGGCGGACTTAATGCCAGGAGGAAAGAAGAAGGAAGCAAGGCGATGCAAAAAACAGTCTTAGATTACTTAAATAAATTTAATTTATGTAAATTATATATTAATAAACTTTATAATGGGCGCTTTTGGGTTGAAAAACGTTAACGAAAATACTAATTCATTATTAATTGGGCCATTCTTATTCTTACGCATTTTTGTGTGAGATGTAAGAATAGCATATGTTTTTAAAGAAAATCAGTGCACTTTATATTAATTTACTTAGTAAAATACCTCTATTAACTAGGCCCAATATCATTTTTATCATAAAACTACTAGAAGAATATTTAAAAAAAGTTACAAGTCCAAAATGTCACGGACCGTGTAGTGTGAGATTCTCGGATTTGGACATACAATATTTTTTTCTGAAGAGATGTTATGTTATTTTGATAAATATTACAGTAATTATGCAAGATTAATACATGTTATATAATATCGGAAGCATGATCAGATAGTGCCAATAATAAAAAGTCTATTTTTTTATTATCTAGTAGATATATTAACTACCTGACGGTATTTTTGAACTCAATTTTAATTAAATTTTTGGATGTTCAGAAAAAAGTACATATTACCAAATAACACCTTTGTTGATGAAACGAATTTAGTGTATTTTATTGTTAATCAATTTAAACTATTATGATATAAATTTAACAACATAAATATTATTATTTACAGTAAAAATGTAAAACTGTCACATCCGTGTCATGCAGTGTCACAGCCGTGTTTACGTAGGCTATTTTGTTTCCTTTCCGAGGGCTTTAAGGTTGTCCATATACATCAAAAGTATGCTTTTGGTTTATACTTTCGATACACATCGCAAAAAGTTTAAAAAAAAATCTTTAATTTTTTTAAAAAATTTGGCACAAATTTAAGAATGGCCCAATTATATCTACACTTATTTAGCTCAATAAGTAAACAGTGGTAGGTCTATAACTTCTATAAGTAATGGGAGAGTCTATGTCTAGACATTTTGATGATTTTTATCTCACAATCTCAATAGTAGTTATGTAGGTAACTTAAGGTTTTTTTTTTATTTGCTCACTTACAAAATATTAACTTAGAAACAATTTAAGGATATCAACGCGGCCGAAACTTAATTTAAAAACCTTTATTTTCTATCATAAATGATGTTTTTTAAATTCTCTACCGCGGGAATTCTAAGAGCCTTTATAAAACTGATAACGGTTGATCAGGCAAATTATCTGCGGTCCTTACGCAATCGGAGGACGCGGTGCACCGGCTGAGGCTATCGACCTTCGCGGTTACTTGAATTAACTGTTATGTTGTTGGAAATAACTTGATGTCAAGCAGTCCGCAGGGCGCAGCTCGTCACAGGCGAGTCGCATTCGCACCTGTACGCGGGACTTGGAAAAACCATCCAATGCAAAATCCTAGACACAAATAAGACATAACAATGTGTTCGTTATTATTTCTCGTAATCTACATTGTTGCTACGGAATTCGCGAGTGCGGCATCGATATACGACCAAAGCCAGACCGGTGACATTAATGTGCAAATTGATTTAAAAGATCTTCAAATAATAGCTCTTACAAAAAGTACTAAAGAAGAATATGTGGTAAGTTAAGTGCAGTTTAGCGCAATTAACAAAATTAAATTAGGTACCTATCAAGTAATGGTATATTATCTTTTATTGATAAAAAATATCAATTTCTCCCTAATGCTACTTATGTAGGTGTAGGTACTTAGGTAATTATTATAATAACTAACGTTACAATACACTTAGTTTTAAATTGTATTACTAATAATTTTTCATAAAATGAAATACCTCGTACGCTTAACTTAATAATTAGAGCACTGAATTATTATACTGAAGTATTATGTAATTTTAATAGATTTTGCCCCACCGGAAGCCGGAAGCGTTATCTTCCACACGGGGGAAAACACTAATGCCCGCGACTTCGTTGAGTGAAAATTGTTTGAATATTTTTTCCCGTATTTGCAACATTTTTCATTGATGCTCTGCTCCTAACTCTTGAGTTTTATAATATTTGTCTGAATATGTACTAACTCTTTTAATTAATTCTTTTTGCGTGTACGAATTATTTAAGATTACTACTTACCCGCAGCTAGACCGTTAGATTTTTTAATAAAAAAGCTAATTATAGCATTTCTGCATTGGAACTTATTATGACTAAACGAGTCTATTAACTCGTCATCCGGTCACCGGTTTTAGACATCGGATGAAGAGTTCTAGGTACATGTATGTACTTACCCAAATCTAAGATTTCACATCTGGTTTTTCAATACAATTGCAGGACTATGACTATGCATATGATTACTCGGAGATGACGATAAAACCACAGAACGGTACTACACAGAAACCGTTAAACGTGACCAGCAGCACAGGTGCAGATGTTTTGAAAGATAACACCACTATTTCTACAACGGTTTACGCGGACACCACAACTGAATCGATGAAAAACAGCACCTTGGAGACTGTGAGCTCGGTAGAAGTAACAAACATTACTGCGTTTACTACAGAAAAGAACGTCCAAACGACAACGAGTAACACAACAATAAATAAGATCGACATCATTACTGCTGCCAACGCTACTGCTGGTTGCACCAGGGGGTATGTGCGCTGCGACTCGCAGCAACCACAGCAGAGTAAGCCCTTGTCGTAAGTAAAGTTAGATAAGCATAAATTATCAATAGTATTTTAAATACAATAATTATTATTATGTTTTATATTAAACTAACCTGTATGGATTTGTGTTCAGCTCTTAGAGGAGACCCGGGTTCGATTCCTGGCATTGTGTTGACGAACGACTTGTCAAAAATAATAATATGGTAGGTAAGTCATATGCTATTTGTCATTGTAGGTAGGTAGGTACTTACACCAATTTCGACTTTAGATTACTTGTTAAGAGCGTTTACGCCGATTGGCGCAAAAACAGTACTTTTTCAACTCGTTACAATCATTAACCAGTAATATTACAAATATGTTATAGGCATAAATAGTTAGGCAATTTCGTCGTCTAAATAGTTAATTGAGAAAATATTGCGATTAGTTTAGTATTTAAGAATTCTATCAAGATAAGTCCACACAGGTTTTGTAAATTTCCACTTTAGCGTCAGTTTACAAGCTGAAATTTTTATAAAAATACTGTTAAAACGATTTAACAAACATTTATATCCTATAGCATAGATCCTTGGGCAAATAGTTATCTGAGAAAATTTTTAGATTTAAGCATTTTACAATAAGAAATCACAAATTAAAAAAACGTGAAATACCCAAAAATCAAAGTGATTTTTACACCATTATTCTTCTTTAATTCAACATAAAAATAGCTTAATATAACAAAATAACATCTTCTTTAAAATATTTACTTTGAAAAGATATATAATTCATTGTTATTGTTTTGCTATAAACATTTGGAAACTATTAAAAAACGCCGCGCGCGAATCATTTCCAATGATGCCCCTTGAAACGCCGCGCTTCGCGTAAACGCTCTTTTAAGCAGTCAACCTGTTTAAATATTGTACGTGACATGTAGTCCAGTCATTTCGTCCGAAAAAAAGGCAAATAAAAGAAAATGAATTTGCGCTTCTAATTTTTTAATATGTTGTAGGGGATACCTAGAAAAGCTTAACTTGAGATTGTCGACCAAGCTTTCCTAGGAGCTTTCGCCGCCATCTTGGAAAACGCTTAAAATTTGTTTTTCGGCAATAACTCGGCTATCCGATGAGATTCGAAAATTTTTGTAGGACACTTTTTGTAGCTTTCTTTGTGCTCTACAATAACGCCCGAACCATTTTTAGCGTATCATGCATCGTTATCGAGATATCGATCGATAAAGTCAAAAATTTTGGACACAATTTTTGTTTTTTTCTTTTTTTTTCTTTGGGTCTTAATAAATATGAAAAATTCCGAAATAATTAAATAATTAATTAAAAAGTAAAAAGTAAAATTTAATTACTTTTAATTACTTTTTAATTACTTTTTTTTAAGTAACGGCAAAGCATTTGTATTAGTTGGTTCTTGTTTTGATCCCTTGTGAGAAACTTCTCCTGGCTAACTTTTGGAGTAGTTGTCTCATCGAATGTGAACTCCGGCGATTGGTTTTTTCTCGAACGTCGTACTCTTTCCGAAGTTTTCGTTCCAGCGAGTGTCATATCAGTCGGATAACCGTCGAATATGATTGCAACCTTTCCTTCGAAGTTATGTTGTACGTATCTGACGTTAATTATTTAATTATTCCGAAATAATTTGTGTCCAAAATTTTTGACTTTATCGATCGATATCTCGATAACGATGCATGATACGCTAAAAATGGTTCGGGCGTTATTGTAGAGCACAAAGAAAGCTACAAAAAGTGTCCTACAAAAATTTTCGAGTCTCATCGGATAGCCGAGTTATTGCCGAAAAACAAATTTTACCCCTTTTTTCAACATGGCGGCGAAAGCTCCTAGGAAAGCTTGGTCGACAATCTCAAGTTAAGCTTTTCTAGGTATCCCCTACAACATATTAAAAAATTTGAAGCGCAAATTCATTTTCTTTTTTGAATGTACGTAATGACTGGACTAATGGTAGTGCCTTGTGTCGTCGCTTGGCTACAGCGGGTCGATTGTATTAATTCGCGGTTATACTTTAATTTCATGGTCAATATCTCATGTTCTATGTACCTACTTAATTAATGTGAACATTCAGTTCGGACGGACTAGTAAATATTTTAAGTTATTGCTATGTAACATCACGTAACAAATTATTAGGTTTTACGTCCTACGGCCTACCAACCACCTACTTTGGATTTAAATGGAATCTATTATACCGTTATACCGGACCGTTTTTATATTTTAACCTATTTGTTTCAGAATACTAGAAATGCTTTCACAGAAATTTAAGAGAAGAGAAAATAGAAAAAATGTCGACAAGAAAGAATGATATTGTGATAATTTTTTTGTTAATAATTTAATATTTTTTGTTTTATCATTAAACTAATCTATCATCTACAAACATTTGTAAATTCGTTTATCAGTGTTCAGTAGTTTCAAGTTTTATTAAAAACTTAAAAAATATAAGACTATTATTATAACTAATTAATTTTTTAACTTGTTTCATTTTACTTTGATAAACTTCAGTAGGAGCTATGTTTTGTATGAAAAAAAATAGCTACTTTATGGCTAAGGTAAGAGTGATTATGTACCTACTATGCAATCCACATGTCATCAAATACACAAACTTTATTAATTTAGAACAGCTCAAAAAAAAATAGCTTCTAACTCTTAACATTTATTACTTTAAATATTTTATTCTACTATTAAAATGATTTAGAGCAAAATTATGTAAAATTCACAGGGAAAATGTCAATTTAAACGAGGTATTTTTCCTTCCTCTTTATGTTACAGATAAATTAAATGAAATTGCAAAAATATTGTTTTAAATAGTACTTCATAAAATCTTATTTCAAGTATTTAAAAAATCAAGAAATTTTAGTCTTAAACCCTAAACTTTAAAGTTTTTATTTTTAACTAACTCGTTTCCTACTTAGAATCTTAGATTAATAATCTAAGCTTATAATTAATAAACTTACTGGACATGCAACATTATGTTGGAAATTGTATTCCATGAACAGTAAATACCATCCATTCACTTCAAGGAAATTTTAAATAATAAAGGCACATCTGAAACAAGATTTTATTTACACAATGTGTGTTGCTGAAAGGTATTTTATTTAGGTCTTGCCTAATAACTATGATATTGATAACAAACAGGACGGGTATTAATGAATGACATGAGATTTGTACTAGCATCAATATTGGGTGTTAGGTCATACTACAAAATAATGAAATAATTTGTAAAGTCATAATTGTGTCATGATTTATAATAAATAAAATTCTTTAAGAAACAGTGCACAAATTGAAAACACACTAAAGAGATTAAAGTTTACACAAGCAGAAGAGTAAGGGAATGAACGCTCCAATGGTAATGAAAACTGGAATCAAAACTGAACTCTCATCCATGGAATATGGATCAGGCTGCTTAGGGCCACTAGCTTTACGGGATTTAGTATTTTTTTCTTCAACCTCATCTCTTTGTTCTTCAGCATCGTTTTCTGGCCACACTAACGGTGGTAGTTTCGGTACCTCATCTATTGTACCTCTCATGACATATAAGGCATTAATTTTAGGGTTGTCTCTGTACCCCTTTATAAATTCAACCTTGATTTTGCCTCCTCGTATGTCAGATTCTTCTTCATTGTAGTAAAGTTTGCCATTTTTTATTGAGTATGGGATGTACTCATCGTGAGCAACTCCTCTGCCAACTTTGTCAAAAATGTCTAGGTCAGCTACAATGGTGTGATCGCCATTCAGAACTACATCAAATACTTTCATGTTGGGCGCATTGAAGTACACCTCACTGAATTTTAAAACTAGAACATAATCGCCGTCCTTGTTAGCCGGTATATCGTAACCAAAAGTACTGTGATGATATCTCTCAGTTTGATAGAGAATTTCATCTTTTGGATTGACTCTTCCTATCATAACCAATTGTTTTCCATAGTCGGAAGCGGTGCCAGTTCTTCCTTGCAATGGGTCTTTTTCATAGTGAATTCCGTATATATCTGTATGGGCAGGTCCTCCTGCATTTATAGCGTAAATAATTTCACCTAATCCAGTTGCACTTTTTACCAGATAGCAAATGAAAAGTGAATAAATTATTAGGATGCTCATTTTTGATGACGAATGCGTTTACCGGCTCCTCTTTACTTTTATGAATTGAAGTTCACTAGTGACAGATATTTTTATTTTAACACATGTTAAATTTGTTTATTAATCACTTTATAAAATATAATAAGTTTCAGCCGGCTAGCTGTGACAATATTAAATATCCATGCAAGAACATGAACAAAACTTCATTCAACAACTAAAATCGAACGCAAACGAGAGGACATTTTGTTTCTTTTATATCTTCACAGCCTTGGATAACGTACATATAGCCACATTCACCCCAATAAAACGACATCAATTGGAAAAAGATGGCGCTAGTAGTGAGTGAAAAGCTGTGAAGAAGACTGAAGAAATACTTGATACCACCTCAACTTCAACGCCTAATACCTATTAAACATTTGTGCAAAATACAGGGTGGAGTTTTTTAATGACACCTGGAGGGAAAGTACTCATAATATTGTAGATAGAAAAATGTTCTCAAAGAAACCATTCCTTTATTTTGGAAAAGAAATAGAACTGCATTCAAAGATTTTCAAAAATTTGCTTGCCACACCCGGGAATCGAAACAACTAAAATCTGTTAAATATACCCTGTATTTTTATTGCATCGATCTTTAGGGTTAGGTATAAGTAAGAATGAAATCTCTCTAACAACCTTGATAAATCAAATGAAAGGAAAACCATGATTACTTAATCTTAAATTATTTACAGAAAAAAATTCGGAAATCTTTCTCTTCCTTTTCAATAAAGGAATGTTTTCATTGAGTAAAATTTGATCTACAGTATTATGATAAGAAAAGATAATTTATTTTAAGATAAACACAGTAGGTACTTTGGCAATCCACAATAAAGGGGGGGGGGGGGGGGATTGGGGAAAAAAGGGAGGGATTAAAGTAGGTAAACACATTCAGAATTATTTTATTGCTTTAAGTTGAAGTTTATAAGCTTTACAAGCTGTACTATAAAGAAGAATCGTATATTGATTCATTTATTTATGTACCATAAAACGAATTATACTTACTATACGATTCTGATTAAGTCCAACCCAATTTGCGGTTTGCTCAAGAGTTCGAATCTCATCGCCACATCACAGTGCACTGTGATGTGGCGATGAGATTGATATTGTGGGAATCAAATCGACAAACTGAGAATGGGGGATAATAACTTGTGGACGCATTTTAAATTAAAAGTTACGTTATCAAAAAGGCTCAAGCTAACGATGAAGTTTTTGAACTCTATAATTATTAAGTATTTGAACTGGTATTATTTATTTAGATATTTTTATTTTCATTTCCTATTCATACGGTCTTGTCTGTCCTACTTGTGCTTCCTAGCATCTTCAGTATTATTCAGTGTTTTCCCCTGAGATCTGACCTACCCGTTGCTAGCTAGCTTGGTATCGTCGACCTACCACAAAGCTATATAATTTTCAAATTAAGCCTACCTACAATACCTACCTACCTATGTACTTCGTCATCATAAACTTTTATGAATAGGTACCTACTGTGTGTTCTTACCATATTTTATTTATTTAAAATCTTTATTGCACACATTAAACAACAGTGGTACAACAGGCAACTATACAGGGTGTTGATTTCAATTCTCGCCATATTTAGGGAGTTGATTAACGGCCGGCCGGTTCACACATGTCTCCGTTTTACTGTTCCGTTTTATCGTGTACGTTTTTTTTCGTCGATTACCTATGTATTACTGACATTACTGTATACTAAATAGAATATTGTGTCATGTGTGAAGTCGCTCATACAACTACGTCATCGACGAAAAAAACGTACACGATAAAACGGAACAGTAAAACGGAGACATGTGTGAACCGGCCGTAAGTAGCTTATTCTGATCACGTATCAGTAAAAAAAATTGACTTCGAAAAAAATTTAAAACGAACTTTAACTTTAGTTAGTCAAAGAAAATAGCAAAAATAGAAAATTTACACTACCTACTTTTACTCTACGTGGCTTCCTTCAGTAGGCAATCCGACATTAAAAGCGAGCGATCCGCGTAGCTCGAAGGTGCTGGAGTGTAAACGTATTGCAGTATTGCGAGCCACAGTACTTGATGTCGCACGGAAAATATTCGCTAAAAATTCCACTTTCGTTTGTAATTTTTTTTTTTGGTGGATAATGTGTTTATAGAATTCATAATAGATCACCTAAATAAAATAAGAGCAATGCTTTACTGAAATTCAGCTTTCAGCCAAACCAACGTGCGTCCTGTCATCCTATGCACGCGCAGTGATCGTCATCGGTTGATGCTTAGTTCAGGAGCATGGGTTCGTTCAGAGCATATTTTTCGTAAAATAGCAGCCTTTTAAAAGCGACAATTTTTTAAAATTCCTACTCTATTGAAAGCTTAAACTAAATTCCACTATGTAGTTAATTTACTATGAGTCATTCTAAACCGTGTCACATCCACGGCAGACGGATTCTACGAATATAAAATGAAATTAAGTTTTATGGACAAATGAATGAGCCCATTTCGCTAATTCGTGCAATTCGTGAATTAGATTTCACATGACTGTGGCGCGCACCCTTTAATTTCGTGAATCTAGTTAAGATTTTATCGTTCTAAAGTTCCCTTTGGCGGGAAATGTATAGCTATCATTATCGATTTCTGCCTAAACCAGGGATAACTGAAGGTAAGAAAAAGGTACGGGCCGAGAGATTAATGTTTTTCGGTATGGAGCTGATGTCCCCAATCACACAAAGCTATAGATGAGCTCGTAGGGCGAGCGGAACAAACAAAGGTTGCCAGCAAAAATTGTCCTCTTTGTGTCTGACTGTTCATTGTCGTTTGTCATATATTTTACTCACTGTCGGAACCGTATGTGCTTAGGCTCTAGGTCGCATGAGTAGTGCTTTGATAGATTGTAGGTAGATACGAGTATTATCATGAGATTATGAAATAGCTGAAAACCGTTTAATGTGTATCGTTGTGTGTTTTAGCATGATAGGGTTTAAATTAATACTCGTACATATTCATGTTACAAACTAAATATACCTAATACAAATTAGAGAATTCATAAACACTTTTGCGCGAACCTAAAGGTTATATAAAAGTTCAGTTATTGCTTCTAATAGTAGTCACGAACGTAATTCCTTTACAAATACTAAATTTATATTGGAATTTCGACTCTTTGGCCTACTGCTACTTACTGGAGAGAATAATACCACAAACTATTCAACTACCTAATTTGAATAATCTGTGGATTGTGAATCT